TCTGATGAAGATTAAAGACTACAATCTGGTGTGTATGGATTACATCTCAACATAAAGAAAAATCCTCACAACTGGACCAAAAAACAGCATCATGATCAATGCACAGAAATTTTAAATTGCCAAAGATTTCATATTACTTGGTTCCACAATCAATACCAATGAAAGCAGCACTCAAGAAAGCAGATGATGTATTGCAGCGGGCAAATCTGCCCCCCAAAGACCTCTTTAAAGTGCTGAAGAGCAAAGATGTCTCTTTGAAGATTAAGGCTTACCTAACCCAAGCCATGGTGTTTTCAGTCGCTTCATATGCATGTGAAAGCTGAACAATGAATAAGGAAGACTGAACAAGAGTTGATGACTTTGAGTTATAGTGTTGATGAACAACACTTGGAAGTACTATGGACTGCCAGAAGAACTAACATATCTGTCCTGGAAGAAGTGCAGCCATAATGCTCTTTGAAAACCAGAATGGCCAGACTTGGTCTCACCTACTTCAGTCACGTTGTCAGAAGGGACAATTACTTAGGGAAGGATATCATGCTTGGTAAAGTGGAGGGCCAGTGAAAAAGTGAAAGGCCCTCAATGGGATGGATTGGCACAGTGGCTGCAGTAATGGGCTCAGGTATGGGAAGGATTATGAGGCTGGATCAGGACCAGGCAGTATTTCATTCTGTGGTACATAGGTCACTATGAGTGGAACTGACTTGAAGGCCCTAACAACAACTACATCCCTTTGAGGGTTTCATGTACCTTATTTACATTATTAACAAGCTCTTTGGTGGGCCACAAGCTCCTCACATTTCATAGTCCCTTTCAGTCATCTTGGTGGGAGACCCAAAGACTATAATTAGAAGAGCTATATTAAGTAGTTCTCTGTACCATACTATATAAATGAATTATACTGACTTTATTAGCTCTTCTCAATACCAAGGAGAATTCTTATTTAATTGCTGTATTTCCTCTTATCCTTTCAAGTATAATGTAGTAACAATCTAAGGAGCAGGTAATTTATTTTAAACATAAAAATTTTACTAACATTTGTGCTAAGTGAATAATAGAATAAAATATTTATATGCTTAATATTTTGAAAACCTATTGGCATAAGATACGTTTAGGCAAGTGACCCCAACAATAATAGAAAAAAAAAAAAAACATTATTTTAGTAGCATTTACTAATTTAAAATAATCATCAAACAAAAATACCAAACTCACTGCTGTGGAGTCGGATTCAACTCATAACAACCCCTCCTTGGGTTTCCGAAGCTGTATCACTACAGAAGTAGATTGCCCCACCTTCCTTCTGAGGAGTTGCTGGTGGGTTTGGACCACCAGCTTTCTGGGTAGCAGTCAAATGCTTTAGGGACTATACTAGCAGAGCTCCTAAAATAATTGCATAGAGAGGAAACTCATGTCATTTATTACCTTTTGTGCCTCTATTAACTAGTTGCACATTTTGAACTGTTTATTTAGGAATTTAAAAAATTATTTTGTCAATGGTAAAATTAATTTATGGTAAATTTTTTATGGAATCTTATTCTTAAAAAAAAAAAAAAGAAAAACTCACATTTTAATACAATCTGATTAGAACATAATGGAAACTGAACTGGAATAGATGCATTAACCATATTCTACAAGGCTGTGATTCTTAATGGGTAATTTAGTATGAAAGAAAAAAAAATTGAAATGAGATTCTTTATATAATATTGCTGCTATTTTTGAACCTTTGAAAATAAAAAAAGATAACGAGAAAATGTAATTAAAAGAGACTTTTTCAGTTCATGGCTCTGGCAACGAGTAAAGTTTTGTCATCTTTGACTTTCTTCTAACACCAACCCTTATAAAATGCAGCATGTGCTGTGTTAGAGATCAGAACCAGTTTTGAACACTATTAATCTTCTCTTGAAAAAAAATGCAGCTTTCTACATCTTCACGAGGAAGTAAGATTGAACACAGACCTACATTGGCAAAAAAGCTACATCATGAGTATGGTTGCCACTGATAATCTGCTTTTATGATTCAAAGTCTGACCTTATACTTGAGAAAATCTAGTCTTTTAGTGAACGTGTGTTTTGTGCTGGCTTTAGAAGAGAAGTCAGCCAGTAGCTGGTATTGAGTCCTAACTGGCTGTACTCTTGGCTGCTGAGTTGTGGTTATGAACTTTGATTCTGTTTCTTAGTTCTCTGTCATTTCGGGTAGATGGGAGGTGCATGAAGGTAATTGTTACCTCATTTCATTTTTAGAACTACTCTCAGTGGCCCCATGTGTAAGAAGAGGCTCAGTGTGGTAGATAAGGGGTCTAGCAGTGAAGTTCAGTGTCTGTTATGTGGTGGTGTTAAGATGCAGAACCTAATTTTGGAATTTGAAGTGTGCCGGTCTTTTACAGAGAGATTCACAGCATGGGTAATGGATATACTGTTTTGTGTAAACCTTCATTGCCACTAACCATAATTCTTATTGTAGTTGTTGTTGGATGCCGTTGAGTCCGCTCCAGCTTATAGAGACCCTATGTAAAACAGACCAAAACACTGCTTGGTCCTGTGCCAACCTTGCAATGCTTGCTATACCTGAGCCCATTGTCTAGGCCACTGTGTCATTCCATCTTGTTGATTGCCACTGTTCTAAATCTCTCAGTTAGTTCTAATAGATTTTTGACTGAGTCCCTTGGGTTTTCTTTGTGTAGGATCATATCATCAGCAAATAGGGATAGTTTTACTTCTTCCCTACCTGTATGGATGCCTGTGATTTCCCTTTCTTGCCTTATTGCCCAGCTAGGACTTCCAATATAATGTTGAATGGAAGTGGAGATAGAGGGCTTCCGTATCTGTTTTCTATTTGCGAAGGGAATGGTTTCAGTCTCTCTCCATTTAGAATAATGTTAGCTGTTGGTTTTACATATATACACTTTTTATGTTGAGGAATGTCCTTTCTATTCCTATTTTGCAGAGGATTTTGATCAGTAATGGGTGCTGGATTTTATCAAATGTCTTTTCTGCATCAATTGATATGATCATGTGGTTCTTTTCCTTTGTTTTATTTATGTGATAGATGACGTTGATTGTTTTTCTAATGTTGAACCATTCTTGCATGCTTGATATCAACCCCACTTGGTCATAATGAATTATTTTCTTGATATGTTGTTGGAGTCTATTGGCTGGGATTTTGTTGAATATTTTTGCGTCTATATTCATGAGGGATATTGGTCTGTAGTTTTCCTTTTGAGTGATGTCTTTGCCTGGTTTTGGTATCAACATTGTGCTTGCCTCATGAAATGAATTAGGAAGGATTCCATCCTTTTGTATGTCCTGGAATGGTTTGAGTAGGATTGGTGTTTTGAATACCTAGTAGTTCTCTCTGGTAGCATAGTGGCTAAGACACTTGCCTGCTAACCAGACGGCTGGAGGTTCAAACCCACCAGCCACTCCTTGGAAGGAAGGTTGGGCAATCCTACTTCCGTAGTGATACTGCCTCGGAAACCCAAGGAGGGGTCGCTATGAGTCGGGTTTGACTCGACGGCACATAACAACAGCAACAACAAGTAGTTCTCTGACAATAATATACCACAAATGAGATGGCTTTAACAAACAGGAGTTTTTTTTCTTAGTTTTGAGGCTTTAAGTCCAAGTTAAAAGTGCCAGGCTCTAGGGGTTGGGTGAAAGCCCCTCAACCTTGGGGTTCAGCTCTGCCTCCTGTTCCCAGCCCACTGGTGCTAGAGGTGTTTCTACACTCAGACAGCTGCTGGCTGCTGAAGTTGACAAACCCAAGATTGAGAAGTAAAAGGCACAGTCCTGATGTTACCAAACCACACGGCAGGCCATTAATTTAAGTCCATTTTAAGTCCCAGGGTCTGCAGAGCATGACAGGCTGCTGAACAATGACACGGCTATATGCAGGGACCAAGCATGCCATAAGCTATAGACCATTCCCAAAGATGCTTTTTAGATACGGGAAGCAGACCACATTCCAAAGGCAGCTACTTAGCTGCTTGTGGTAGATCCCACCATGGAGTTGATGCCAGTCTCATCATGGGGCATAACTACCATCAGCTGCCCAGCCATTCAACCAAGCCCAGCCGAGTTGACAAACAAATGTAACCACCACACAGTGTTATATCCATTTAGTCTGATCAAGTCATACTCATTAGACGGTTATAAGTATTGGTATATGAAAGCTATTTTAACTACTCACAGACAACCAAACGCATACAAAAGGAATATTTCCTGTATGTGTGATCCCCCTGGACCAAAAGCTATTCAGGTGTACATGGAAGACTTCTGTCCATGAAGAAGACTTACGTGGTCTTCACTTTGTACAGTAGATGAGGAACAAAGACTGTTGTATAATGAGCCATTTTACTGTCTCCAGAGTTGTCTTGGCAGGACAGAAATTCTTCTATGCTTGGCCCACAAAACTCAATAGGGAAGGGACTAGAGAGCCTTCCTCTGCCTGGTTTTATGTTCCAGGGCAACAGAGTACAATGCAGATTTTCCCACCTGAGCATCTGAGGATGAGGTGGTTAGACATGGGCATCAGCATGGAATTACATCTCTTTAGCTCTCCTGCTTATTTAGACAAACCATTAGGCTTGTGGGCAGGGAGAAGGGGATGAGGGAGTGTAAGTTCTTAACTCTAAAGCTGTATGCAGGTGGAGGAGCAGGGAAGACCATGGCCATGCTCCTTGTCCAAAGAACTACTTTCTCTCAGTCCTTTATTCTTGCACCTGATGGTAATGGTTTCTATCGTGTTATGTAGTTTATCAGTTTTCCTGTTCACTTTCAGAGTATTTACTCTTTGGAATTTTGTTTTGTTTATTAATAGCATGAGGACCACCAGTGCCTATCTGAAACTGTTCCTGTCTCTGAATATCTAATATTTTATTGTTGAGTTGTTTTTTTTTTCTTTGTTTGTTTTAAATATTTTTTTATGATAAAAAGTTCAATTCCTGCAATTTTGCAGTTTAATGCCTTACTTTCCCTAACTTGACTTTATCCTTACTCTTACAGAGAGAAGAAAAGAGGAAGGTTTTGAAGAAAGAAAAGCTATTAAGAAGAAAATTAAAGAACTTAAATTTCTAGATTCTAAAGTTGCTCAGAACCTTTGTAAGTACCATATTTCAATAGTAATAAATTATCAAAACACAGAAGAGATGGTTGCTTTAAATTATTTAATTTTCTTTATGCTTTATTTTTCATTTTATGTTATCATTTTATTATCATTACTATTTGCATAATAAATCCAAAGATAATTCTCTTTTTTTGAGCTAATTTAAGGGATTAAATTCTTAAAAAAGATGAATGCATATTAGAAGATAAAATAAGAAAAGAATTTAGAATGAACGTATATGGACCTTAACTGAAAACAGAACTTTCTTTTAAAGTCCAATTTTAGGGAGGGAAAGGGAGGGACTAATTTAGGGCAAGTTGAGGGTTACACGCTGACATGGGTAGGGGGAGGCATCTATGGGAAGGATATATGACCACCATGATAACACTGGGAAATGAGAGGACACCGAACTGTGCACAATAAGAGATAGATGACAGATGTTAAAACCAACCAATGTGTCCACAATTCCACATTGCTATTAACACCAAACACTAGGCTATACAGATAAACACATAAACACCTGAGATGATCAGACAGGGATCAGTGAATAGAGGTATACTCTAGATCAAGGATAGAGTCAGCCGAGGCTAATCTTGTACAGACACCAGTGATACAAAATACCTGCAGTCCTTACAGAAACAATAGAAGACAGACATGGAGTAATCCCTCACAGACATCCCAACACTATGGGAGAGAGATCCAATAGAGCTACTACTTCAGGACCATGATACTGGGGGACACCAGACTCCATTGGCACAACAAAAAAGCGTTGCTCCACATCCTACATTGGTGAGTAGTGACTGGAGTCTTAAAAGCTTTCAAGCAGCCATCCAGGATGCAGCTAATGGTCTCCTAGTGTCGGAAGTGAAGAAGAACACACAAAAACCAAACCAAAAAAAAAAAAAAAAAGGGCATTTAGAAGCAATCAACCCTAGGACACGATGGCCCTCGAGACCAGAAGAACCAGATGGTGCCCGGCTACCAATGCCAACCACTCAGGAAAGGATCAAATCTGGAGATCCTGAATAGAGTGGGAGGGAAAACGTGGAACAAAATACAA